GGGACAACAACATGTAAGGAAGCCCAAGGCGAAGCCGGGCTTCCACGCTAGTGATAAATAAACTGGTTCTATTCTGATTCGCCTTGCCTATGTCAAGATTTTTAAACCTAAGATGGACAGTGATATTAGAAAAGGCCAACCGAACTTGACTTAAGTGCAATGGCAACCTTTTAATCCAACAAACTCCACACTGGTGAATGTTCATAACTGAGTGTCAATATTTCTGATCCAAAAAGACAATACTACGAGCTTGTGACTTAATGGTTAGAGCGTTGGACTTTTGATCAAAACGGTTATGGGTTCGAGAGCCGGGTGCTATACCACTTGGGGTTGTGTAGGTCTGGCTGATGAGGACTAACGAGCACCCCTTGTCTTTGCCAGTAATGCTACCTCTCAGGGCTGTTTTAATTGAAGGCTTTCCAGGTCTTATGAATAAGACGAAACAGATAGGTTTTCTCAAATTGGTCTTGAACCATATGCTAAAAGGAACATCTCCCAAGGGGTTAAAAACTATTATCAGCGGTAATTGTGTTGAAGTGACGCCTTGCCAATCAGTTTTAAGAAGGAGACTTTTCATTCAACATCACCTTGAAGGTACAAGTGAAACAATTCAAACCGCTTTCTATTCTGGTCCCTGATGAAGAACCCGTGACAAATGCCGAAACGACAGGCGAATAAAAGTTTCGTCCCAGCGATCGAGTCTTCTTCTGCTTCTTCCACTCAATGATAAGTAAACTGGTTCTATTCTTTTTCGCCTTGCCTATGTCAAGACTTTTAAACCTAAGATGGGCAGTGATATTAGAAAAGGTTTACACAGAAAGTCAACCAAACTTGACTTAATTGCATGGGCTGAGTAAATTCCAACATGAAAAATAACAACAAGCTGGTGCCAGACATGGTGTGAAGGAACGCAGATTATATGTAGACCATTCAGTCAATAGAAAGACCCCTAGTCTGCAGCGGAAATGGACACATTTCGACTAAAAGGCCAGCCCCTCAAGAACAATCACAAGAACCGAAAAAGTCAGCGTCCTTTGACATAGAGAGACTGTGTAGTAGCAGTCACAGTGGCCGCAGTGTTGACGTTGACTGACCTCTGTCCGATTGAGGCCCGGTAGAGGCTAGAACCCCCATCGTTTTCTCCCGTAAACTGGCAAGCCTTCACACAGTCACTGGCATTGTTTAAACAATTGTGTGTTCTTTTGACCGTGTTTCCGAACAGCTGGACAGGCTGCAGGCTAGTCTCTGTTGGCCCACAGCGTAAACAATCCTTACGGTCCTGTTGGCACGAGTGCGGGTGCGCCTTCGTGACCTCGCGTACACTTTTACCCACGTATCAGGTGCTGCACTGGTGAACGTGAATGTGTGTGCCATCTTGTGCTGTGATGCTGTGCTAACCATCGGAGGCCTGGCAGACGTCCTGTCGCGTAATGGCTCTGGCCGCCAGGTTTCACGCGGGAAAAACTAAAACGTCCTCGCCATGTCCGACGTAGATGCAGTTGCAAGTTGTGCACAGCTTCACACAGCTCGTCGAATGCTACCATTTTTTTCCAGCGGGAACGCAAATGTATGAAGCCACCGTAAGCAGCCGTCCAGTGCATCAAATGCATGATTTTAAATTGTCGAACCAGACCGTCACACTCTTTTGTTACTGGATTTTATACAAAACAATGACCGGATTATGACTGATTCCTTGGCATATTTTTTATTCTTCGTAGCTGAGCGTTAGAAAGTGGGGAATTCTCATTGGCCAATTTTGACTCGAGGCGGTAAGAACAGTAAGTCAGCAATCAGTCTCTAGACTGCTCACTCCTCGATGAAAACCTGGAATGCCCGCTTTTCTTGTCTCAAGCGTTCTCTCCGACAAACGTGTACAGATTTCTCGCCCCGCAATAAGAGCTGATCATATTTGCCGAAAATATACGCAAGACATGTAGTATCCTAGTAATTTAAAACGAAACTTCATCACAGACATACAAAACTCGTTGTTAATACTATCTACCTACACCGCCAGCTGCTAGGCCTGTCAGGGTCGCTGTCGAGACCCCAGACAGAGCGGGACAGATGAGTTCCGTTAGTGGTTGGGTGAAAGTTCATCAATGAGTGTCAATATCCCTCGACCTTACCCGACAAAACAACGAGCTCGTGGCTCAATGGATAGGGTGTTTGGCTCTGATCAAACAAGTCGCGAGTTCGTGGCTCGAGTGGAAAACCATTTTAGTCTGGATATGACTGGCTGACGATGGCTAATAAGTCAGAAGTGGCCATTTCAGTCTCCTTGATCTTTGCCGGTGATAATATCCGCCTACACTACCAACTGGTATGCCTGTCAGGGCCTCTGTCGAGACCCCAGGCAGAGCGGGACTATTGAGTTTCGTTAGCGGTCGAGTGAACGTTCATCAATGAGTGGCATAAAAAGAATTTTAGTCAATCTGCTCAAGCCATCATATTCGGTATTCTTACCGACAGCCTGAGATCACGTGATTTTTCACCTTAAATCGCGCGATTTATTCAACCCCAAATAAGAAATAAATGTCTGACGACTCCTAGCGAGACCAGCAGGCCTTCAGCCAAGAAATGCCAAGCATTTGTAGAAGAATTTGAGACTCAGAAAGAAAAAAATAATATGAACTGCGAATCCCATCAAGATTTACACGGCAAAGTATTAGAGGCGGTTTAAGAATAATGACACTTTAAACCTTTAGTGAATCGTCGGAGGGCACTATAAGCGTAACTTGAACGTCATTTGAGGAGTAAAGTAGGCTTCAGGGGAATTTCACCAGATAAGCTATGCTTATACGAATACAAGATAACCCAAATAGGCACAGGGCCCAGATATGCCAAGCGAATGCTCTAACATTCGTAGGACAATTTGCGACTGTTAATTTCGTCAACCTTTACACAACAAAGTGTCAGAGGCGGTGTAAGGATGCTAGGACAAAAAGCATTTATTGATAAACTT